ATAGAAGCTTTCTATAATATGATATTTAATTTTAATAAAATATAACAATATAATAATAATAAGTTTATTTCTAAAATTAAAAATACAAAACTAATATAATATAAATAAAGATATTATAGATAGCAAATTAGCATAAATGATTAAATTATATTTATAAAACATGTATTAAAAATAAGTTATTCTAATTTATAATTTTTATTAAAATATTATTTTTATTAAAATATTTTAGATTAAATTTTAAAATTATAAATAATTTAACTGGATCAATTTTTGACCAATTTTTTTATTAGTTCTAGACTGATTGTACCAATTTTCCATGGATTCTATGCAAAATGGTTCTCTGATTTAACTGAACTAGTTTTGGATTGATTTCTAGTCAAACCACCCATAATAGCTAGTTTGATCCAGTTTTCAAAATTATGGTAAAAAAAAAAAGTTTCTTTCATATCTATAAATTATAAATTTAGGAAACATGATGTTTACTAATTAATTTTATTTAAAAATGAGTGAGACTTAAAAATAAAATTTGGTAAAAAGAAATTAAAATTAAATAATTATATGTTAAGGTTTTTTTAATTAATATAAGTGATACTTTTTATAAATAAAAAAATTAAAAGTACACATTTTTTATTAAAGAACATAAATTTTGAGTTTTAACAATTTTATTTATTTTAGGGTTGACTTTTAGACTAATTTTTACTTAATATAAAAAAGTTGATTTATTTTTTAATCATGAAATGATATTTTAAATAATAGTAATTAATATTTTAATCAAATTTTATATTTTTTTAGCTTTCATGATAAGTTGTTTAGTCAACAAGTTCCTCTACTTTTAGAAAGAGATTGTAGATTTTTTTTTCTTTTTGGTTAGAAGGAATTTCAATGTGGAAGGATTTGATAACAAGAAATGTGCTCAAAATAAATTTTGAGGAGGGATTAGTTGAAATTGATGTGTTATAGAGAGTTACTTAAAAAAAATTATTTCCTTAGAAAGGTGAGGTTGACTAGATATTGTTTGGATGTCAGTAGAAGGGTGAATGTAGTAAATGTTGAACAAGGTTTCTATATGGTGAAGTATGATTAGATTAAGTGCCTTATTTTGTTTCTTAATAAATCAAAATAGATAATATGTTAGTGTGGATATGCTTTATTAGTCTAACTTAAAATCTAACTCAAAATTGAGTATTTTTTTTTCTACTTTAGATGAAAGAGACTTCACCATACATATATATTAGTGTGGAAAATGTTTCGAGGCAAGTTTGTTTGAATTTGTGTGAAAAATTATTTGAATTGACCAATTAGATTTTAAAACCACTAGATACAAAAGAGAGAGAGAGAGAATGAAGCAAAGAAATGAGAAATATTAGAGGAAATTATGACAATAATGACAAGTTGATGAAATAAAGACTTTGGTCTGTTTCGTCTAAAAAAAAATACAAGTTATATAACAATTTGTTATATTTTAAGTTAAATTAAGAGATTGTTACATTAAATTATATGAGATAAACAACACAATAAATTATATTAAGTGGCAACTTAACCATATTAGCTTTATGCTAAAATGTGGAAATAAAGCCACTAGTGTGAGATGCTCCATAATTAGATGCTCAATTTTCTTTTGCGTGGGTGATCTTCTTTTTAATCCTTTAGATCTCCAATGCTCACATAATTTCACCCCGACAAAATCCCATTTGGTCTATTCATTGTGGTCCGAGCCTTATTTAGATAACTTGTCATCAATATTGAACCATGCCTTTCAAAATTCTTTTTTTTTTTAATTGTAATCTAATTGATGGAATCATGTCAAGACCAAGGAATCTAAGAGGTGATACATTAAAGGAATAAAGAGGAATGAGATGACTTTGAAGACCTTTTCATATGTTTGTGTACATAGTAGTTATTTGTATAGGTTTATTTTCCCTTTGTATTTGTGAGACACTTTGTTTCCTTTTTATAGACCATTATATTGTGAATTTAGAGTAAGTTCTTTGGAGACTTATATTCCATTTGACCTTGTATTAAAGGTTACTCGTTTTACATTTTTCAGTAGTAGAAGTGGGTGACAATTAGCAAGGCTTGAGGGTGTAACTAATAAATGGGTCAGAGTTGGGCCTAGGCCAATTTTTACATATTAGACTTGTTTTGTTCCATATTTTTCAAGGAATTGATTTAGCTAGGTCTCACCATCATTGGGTGAACCTAACTAAACCAATTCCAAAATATTTGGATTGGATTAAGTGGAGAAAATAAGCCAAGGCCGCCCCTCCCATCTCATGACCGAATTTGCTTCTTGCTCTTGGAGCCTTTGGGAAGCTTGCGTTACAAACTTCTAACTTAGCTTGCTTGGGAAGCAAGCTAAGATAGAAGCTTTCTCCACAAGCCTTCCAAACCAAGGTGGACGGTTAGGTAAGCCAACTATGGTTCTCTTGAACCATGGTTAAACTTAGTTTCCTCCACAAGTTTCCTACTTCTATATAAACCTCATCTTCTCCAATGTATACACTTTTGACATTAATGAGATAGAATTTTCAAAATTTTCTTTCTCTCTCAAGAGTCCTAAGCCGTGGAGAAAAGCTTCTCCTCTAAGCTTCTCAACAAAGGATTTCCTCCTTTGTTCTTTGGTTCATCAAGTTTCTTCCTCTTTAAGGAAGAAACCGAACCCCTTGGTTGCTTCAACAAGCCTTGGAGCTTGTGGATTTTGCTTCCACCATTGTCAAGTTTTAAGACCTCAAGAGAAAAAGGACATTGAAGGTGGAGTTTGGAGAGGAACATCAATCACCTCCTCAAGACTTCCATCACTAATGGACTAATAGGAAACTTTCCCTGTATAAAGAAGCAAACAAATTTGCTAAAAGTAGACTAAATATACATCCATAGGTCTCTTACGTTACCTTCATTTGAATTTGTTGGTTGTGAAGTACATGATGGATAAAGCCCTTGTATAGAAGGTGAAGGTGACACATAAGATGTCCTAGTTGGTGGATCTAAAAGGACAATATTTTTGTTTCTCTAATGCAACAAATGATCTTGGGGGTGCATCTTGCATCTAAATATGTTGGTTGTGAAATACATAGTGAGTGTAATTAAGGATGGAGGTGACACATCAAATGTCCTAACAGGTGGATTCATAGGACATGATTTTTGCTTCTTTAATGCAACAAGTGATTTAAAGGTGTGTCCTACATCTAAATATGTTGGTTGTGAAGTACATGGTGAGTGTAACCCTTGTATAGAAGGTGGAGGTGACACATCAAATGTCCTAGTAGGTGGATCTAAAGGGAAAAATTATTATTTCTTCAATGCAACAAATGATCTTCAATGCAACAAATGATCTTCAATTGCATCATGCATCTAAATATGTTGGTTATGAACTTCATGTAATTAGCTTTTATATTGAAGGTGGAGGTGACACATCGGATGTCCTAGAAGGTGGATCTAAAGAACAAGATTCATGTTTCTCTAATGCAAAATGAACTTAGGGTGTGTCCTACATATGGATATGTTGGTTGTGAATTACATTGTGTGTGTAGCCCTTGTATTAAAGGTGGAGGTGACACATCAAATGTCCAAGTAGGTAGATCTGAAGATCAAGATTGTTGTTTCTTAAATCACTACAAGAAAATGACGATTTTGCGACGGTTATATCGCTTACATTGCGACGGTTAGAACTGTCGCAAAGACAACAGTGCGACGGTTTGGGAACCGTCGCAGAATTGTCCGTCACCAGGCAATTTTGCGACGGTTATCAGAACCGTTGCACAAACCGTCGCAAACTTGGAATTGCGACCCTTTCATCAACTGTCGCACCGTCGCAAACTTTCCCGATTTTAAAACTAATTTTTGCACTAGTGAACAAAAATCTTGTCCTTTATATCCATCTACTAGGACATTTGATGTGTCACCTCCACCTTCAATACAAGGGTTACACTAACCAATTACTTCACAACTATTAAATTCAAATGTAGGACACGCTCACACCCTCAAATCATTTATTGCATTAGAGAAATAGAAATCTTTTCCTTCATATCCACTTGCTAGGACATTTGATGTGTCATCTCCACCTTCAACACAAGGGATACACTCACCATGTACTTCACAATCAACAAATTTAGATGTAGGATGCACCATTTTAGCATTCACTACAAGGAAAATGATAAATTGCGACGAACAAATTGAGACGGTTATATAGAAACCATCGTCGCTTTGATATTGCGACCCTTCATACGACAGTTTTTCAAAACCGTCGCAAAATTGTTCAACATTGCGATGGTTTATCGTAAACCGTCGCAAAATTTGTAGAACATTGCGACGGTTTATGATAAACCATCGCAAAATTTGTTTAACATTGCGACGGTTTATCAAAAACCGTCGCAAAATTGTTCAACATTGCGACGATTTATCGTAAACCGTCGCAAAATTTGTTGAACATTGCGACGGTTTACTCAGGTGTGCCACTTAGACTCGGAGGTCCAGTACTACTGTCAGGACAGAAGGGTTTGGGTATGAGCCTACCACGGCCTTGGCTAGCTTCACCAATCCACATGTGGAGTTAGCCCACCCACTGTCCTCCAAGTACCACGCACCCTCCAGTACCTAGTCAGAGACTACATCTCTAACTAGATACCTTACTCAAATTGGTCATTCAACCATGACATGGATCGACTATTTCCATGTCGCCCACACAGTACTAAGGGGTTCAACTTTAAAACAACTTTCAACTTTAAAACAACTTTCAACCTTTAAAACAACTTTCAACTTATCCCCTTAGTACTATGTATCTCAACATCTGGCCGCTTGTAATCAGTATAGCTCAGCCTGGCCCCTATACCGTGGTCGCTTTGTACACGTGTGCCTCGACCTTGCCCACACACGGGATCAACTAAGTCCTAGAGGAGAATGATACAACGTCCACTCCAAGGGACAACTTCCCAAGGAGGGTTTTTCAACAAATTGGGCTCTCAAAGCACCACAACTATCTCAATCCGCACAATGGGATGAACAACTTCGAAAACATCTCCTCTAGTCCTAGTGATCAACACGGGCCGTTCAGGTTGGAGAACGGGCCGTTCTAGTGGGAGTATGGGGCGTTTTGGATGCAGAACAGGCCGTTTTGGATGAGTCCCAGAACGGGCCGTTTTGATTTTGGAACGGGCCGTTCTGCAGGAGGTTTTTGCACTTGATGAAGCAGTACAGAACGGGCCGTTCCAGTTTCGGTACAGGCCGTTTTGGCCACTCCGGAATGCCTATAAATAGGGGTTGAGGGCCTCGAGGAGAATGTGAGTTTTTAGAGAGAAGTTTTAGAGAGAAGGTCTCTGGGTCCGTGAGCTCCTTTCTCTCTCAAATTTCTCTATATGATTCCTTTTCTTCTCTAGACCACTAATGTCTTCTGCCTTTTCTTGAAATTCAGATTAGAAAGCTTGTTTTGTTATTAATTAGCAAACCTGGATTTTCATAGTTCTGGAACGGTCCGTTCCACTTTGGAAACGGGCCGTTCTAAATCAAGCATGCGTGGGTAAAATTTCAACCCAGAACGGGCCGTTCCACTTTAGGAACAGGCCGTTCCGGATGTGATTTTAAAAGAACGAAGTATTGACTCAGAACGGGCCGTTCCACCTTGAAACGGGTCGTTCCGAAAACCCCAAAATGGGCCGTTCTGGTTTTGGAATGGACCGTTCTTGGAGAGGCTTTTGTACATGTTCTATGGGCTCAGAACGGGCCGTTCCGGATTCAGAACAGGCTTTTCTGGCCACGGCCTGATGCCTATAAATAGAGCATTTTGCACTCTCTAAAACACATTTTTTCATTTTCTAATCTTTTTCCTCCATTCTCTCTGAAGACGAAGGGGAACCTAGAGGGGGCGACCAACAAGATTCGGCTCCTTCTTATTAAAAGAATTGATCTTAAAAGTGGTATACAAGATCAGTTCTTTTAATGCCCGATCTTAAAAGTTGTATCAGATATAACTTTTAAGATCGGTCACAGAAGAACCGATCTTAAAAGTACTATAACTATTTAAAAAATGAAACGCTCTCCCTTAGTCATTCTTCCTCGCATGCGCCTCCCTTAGTCATATTTTAAGATGAATAAATATATTAAGTTAATTAATAATTTATTTAAAATGTTAAAATTTAATTTATAAAAATAATATTTTAAAAGAGAAGG